AATAATCAAGGCAAAAAGGAGTTTTGCTAGTTTCTCCTTGTATATACACAGTACCGTGGCCTTCGGGCTCGTGCTACATAGTTTTGAACTAATACAGCACGTTAAAAGAAAAAAAAAAAAAAAAAAAAAAAAAAATAATGGGAGTTATCTACCTACCTACCAAGAGAGGGGAATTAATCACGTGGTGGATGACTAAGAGCCCTGATCTGCTCCACAAATCGTGCCATAACCTATTTTGCGTATAGTTTAAAATAAGCAAAAATTTGCAACTTGACAACAAATCAACGGTCGCTTAGCTCAGTTGGTTAGAGCGTGGTGCTAATAACGCCAAGGTCGCGAGTTCGACCCTCGTAGTGACCATCAAATGTTTCTATTTTGTCCTTTTTTTATGTTTCATAAATTGTTTTGAGCGCACATTTTGACGCTTTACGACAAATGTTTGATTCTGAGCTAGAGAAATTGCATCATGACTCATAAATTGCTAATTCTAAGCGATCCCACCTGGTGCACTCAACGACCCACTGCTTCCACCCATAAACGCCTGATACCTAGGTACCTATGTACTTCTTTTCGGTACAATTGCTCACTTATATAGCTACTCAGTTGCAATCACAGGTTATTCTTTTGCTTTGCTTCTAGACCCACATACCATACCGTATCATCAATAGTTCTGCTGACACCATGAGACGCATGAAACGGGTGAGTGCACATGAGATAGGCAACCCCGCAAATGGACAGCATTAAAACAGAACTCCATTACCATTAACGAGATCATGAATTTCATCCCGACACGTCGCAAATGCTTTTCCTTTACATACCTTCTCAGCCAGAGTCCAAATCAATCCCTCGATTCCGTCACCACGAAACCTAATGCGACCCTTTCCTCTCCGAATGCATCTGCATAAACCTCTTCATCCCCCCACTACTCCAACCAGTCTCCATACCTTTATGAAAACTAAACCAGCATGGCTTAACCTTCGGCTTCAGTCTCTCCTCCAACTCCTCGCAAACATCCAAGTCCACCCGCACAAAATGTACATCGTTCAATTTCTCATAGTGATGATACCATCCCGCCTCATCGACATCAGGATCTTTATATGAAGTCGTGACGCAGAAGACGACGACACGCCGATGGTGGTGATCGGTCAGAATCTGCTCGAACTCATCGACAGACGCGACCTTGTGTATTTTGTGTGGAGCGAGAGGTTTGGATTGTTCGGCCGGAGCGGAAACAGGAGCGGCTGCAGGAGGCTCGTCGTGCGTATGTGAGTGGGTTTTCGTGAGGGCAAGTTTAGCGGTTGTTGCGAAATGCATTCTTGCGATGAACTGTGAGGTTCGAAAATCGGGAAGAATGGGTCGGTGAGGCCGAGAAGCTTAAATCCTGGGATCGATCGAGGTGTGTCTCCCCGGATCTGCCGGGCACCAAGCTTTTAATATCCCGACCCCACATAAAAATACGGGATACAGATCTTTGGGAGTCCCGGCTGGAAGGAAACGTTTGTGATGAATGGAATGATAGGCGTAAGTCCATGTGAGATGACGAAGTTGCCATTGGGTGAAGCCCGATTTTTTATGTGGCAGGGCTGAGATTGTGGCTGTCGAGAATGGTGGGGTTGCGATAAGAAACACTACGTACCTATCTTATTCGCGCCTATAAGAGTATCATGCCAGGTGAGCAGAATCGAAACCGATAATGTTGGAATATCCCCAGTGAAGAACTTGCCTTTCATCTTCAAGTCTTTTGCCAGTCATGACGATTGGTATAGTTTCTTGTTGCGACTTCCCTAATCGTTCTCGCTTCTCTCGTCTTCATTAGATCAGACTTACGATCGAAATCGTTCTGACTCGTTCATCACACTGCAAGTATTCTCAGATCTACAAATGAGATATGTGATAGGCTTCTCTTCTTTTCTATACAGCGGGATGCAAGTTCAGATAAGCGTGCCTCTTTACCTCGATTCGCATTTTGAAAAGTTTAAACATGAAATTCAAAACGAGACATCGGGCACACCTGCGTTTCGATGCCTTCGGAACAATATGTGTCTCAGTCTATTGATGCAAGCAGACACAAGTATTGACAATGAAGGCTCCAGACGATGCTGGAATCAGTGATGCTAAGAGCCTTGACTAATAGCCCCTCAGATTGTCAATGGGAAATCCATTTGAAGCGAACACTTCGATGATTTGAGCTGTCCCGCTGTTTTTGTCCATGGAGGCTTGTTCGTTCCCACAGAGATCATACAATTGGACGGAGGCCACGAAACAATTTCAATCAATTTCCAGCTTGGTAGTGTCTTAGTAACTGCCAGAGGAGTTCAACGCGTAGGAAGCATGATCGGCCTTAGTCCTCCTGGCATGTCAGATGAAAGTCACGTGCAGTGGCCAATGCAATAGTGGAACAGGGCATTTCCAATTTGGTTCTAGTTCAGGGGTTCCTAATCTCTCCCCTTACATTATATCCTCACCTCTCTCCCCTTAGACTTAGAACCTTAGACCTTCAATACAATACATTTGCCCTCCAATTGATGCCTTTTCCATTAAACCATCTGACATGGCAAACGGTTGAATCTACTTGGTACTTCTCAAATCTCCTCGTTCTTCACATTTGTGGAATCAAATCTTCATCAGTCGTCAACCTACAATCAACCGATATTAGACGAGACAGTTGATATTTGACTGATCGTTCAATAATCTCACCTGAACTTGGTGCATCGTCCGTATATGCCGAGAAGGGAGTACTCGCACCATCGACAGATAGATAATTCAGTAGTTGGAATGACGGAAGTTCGATGTCCTCGACAAAGTTCGATTAAAACGCGCAGGTGTCCCAGTTGCAAGAGATGCACAGAAGAAACATCATGGTATTTTTACGGCAAAGCTCTGATTTGGGAAACTCCAGCGAGGTTCCAATCACGATCAGAGGCTCACCACATGTCCTCCAGAGTGCCAAAGTGGGGTAAAGCCGTCCTTGTAAGCATCAGAAACACTGCTAAGATCAACAAACTCCCTGCCTAGAATGCAGCCGTTGGCGAGTAACGTTGCGCCAATCGCAGCACATGCTCGTTCGTACCTGAACGGCCAGCTGCAGAGTGATATATTCCGAAGTTTGCATCGCAAAGGAAGCTCGATCTCAACACGTGCGAAAAAAAATCGTGATATATATTACTTCCGCATGCAGTGAAGAAATCACCAATCTGTTTCTTGCTTTTTCCAGCCTGAAGTTGGAGCTGTTGAGGGATCAGGGTTCGTTTCTCTAATTCCTTAGGGCTCATTCGCTAAAAATAGCAGGTCGACTCAATAAAATTAGCACAAAAGCACCGAACCTTTCCTCCCAAGCAGCATCAATATGTTGCGTTCTTCAATCACATTACTGGTCTCTTTGGCATTGTCGGCTTTGGCATCGCCAATGATCGAAGTCCAGAATGCCATTAAGTCCACTTCACTTGCAGATCATGCGCTGCAGAAGGTCTTGTACGATGCATCGCCAATCTTTGGGTTCTATGTTCAGAACGAAACCACGACGTCGACATGGATGAAGAAATATCCTGATAGGACGAAGATTGTCCATATGAACATTCCAGGGGTGCATGATACCCAGACATGGAATTATTGTAAGTAGCTTCTCCTTCCGCACAAGATCAAGATCCTAAATATATGAAAGCCCTGGCGACCCAAGAAGCACTCGATCATGTGACCAACCTGGACGGCGAAACGATTTATCCTCCACAGGTCTTCAGGTGTCAGGAGCAACCAATCATCAGCATGTTAAATGCTGGTATTCGTGTCTTCGACCTTCGTGTTGCTTTTGACCCAACGAACTCGACGCTCGTGTTCTGGCATTCTCAAGCACTTCAATCCGAGACTGCGACCATGGATGATGTCCTGTTTGGCTTCTACAAATGGTTGGATGACCATCCCAGCGAAGCACTCTTGCTCTCGTTCAATTACGAAGGCTCAACTACTGCCTATGCTCAAAACAATGCCGCCGTCCAACTAGCTATCTATAACACTCTGACTACTCCAGCCGCCGAGAGATATTTCGTTCAAACTAAGAACGAATTCGGTACCCTTGGTGAGGCAAGAGGGAAAATCACTCTCCTTCGTCGATTTAGCCTCTCCGAACTCCCAGCTTCATATTCAGACTCCATCCAAGGTGTCTACTTCTCCCCTGATCAGTGGTTCGACAACAACCCGGACATCACACTTGTTTACAACTCAGCTAAGAACCTCTCTGCCTACATCGAGGATTTCTACGAGCCGGGACAGCCATTCGGCATGGGTGCAGCATATAACATTGAAAGAAAATACAATGCGACGACAGCCCACATCATCAAGGCCACGACCCAGTATCCAGACAGTCTTTTCTGGACTTTCGCATCGAGTGAAAATGATTCTGATAATCCGATTGAGACTCCGGAGATCATGGCACTGGGTAATGGGACGGATACTCCGCTTGGAGGTGTCAATCAAAGGTTGATTCCGTTCTTCAAGGAGATTAAGGGCAAGAGGGCCGGGATCGTGATGTTTGATTTCTTCAATCAGCCAAGTGATCTTGTGCCAGCTTTCTTGAGTATCTGATCGAGAAACATATGTCAGCTTGCTTGTGCGTTAAACAGACGAACAATGAAATTTGTAAAGGACTCGCTTTTGAGGTTTTTGCTTCGTGGAGGTGGTGCCATTTCCATGCCGAGACGAGGCAAGTACTTCCAGTATCTGAAGTACTGCAATCAATTTTTATTTTGGGCCATTCTTTTCGTGTTGATTCCATTTCACAGCATCTGTTAATTTCCGTTCAACCTATCGCGGAATATCCATGCGGTTCTCAATATCGTAGGCCTGCGAAATCGTTTTTTATGAAAGCGGGAATGCCTCCGGACTTTATACGGAGTCGATAAAGCTATACTGTACTACTTCGTATGTTGTACCTGCATTGCAAAATTAAAGATCCATTGCTGTCTCCTGGATGGCTGAAAGGAGGAAGGACTTCCGACAACTCGCCCAATCAAGATCAGTGGCTTGCCGCAAACGATATTTTGCGAACGCCACAAATCTCATCAGATGCTCGCTCACGAGAGCGAAATGGAAATCATGCAACACTTCAGGGTATCTTCTGGCGTGACGGGAGTCTGTGCACCGTTCCAACCACCGACCATCCGTGATGAACCTGTAATTGATCCTCGGCGTTCAGTGGTACAAGAAGGAGGGTCAACGCCTCCTTTCCTTTTTTATTTCTCTCTCGTCCTGTAACGCGAATTTCTGAATGAGTCCTCTTAGCATCTCTGCGGTCTATTCTCATGCTACGTTATCTTGATCATTAAAAATAATCTTCAACATGATTTCGAGGTGTATCCTGCTCCTAA